CCAGTTTGGTCTTTTCAAATAATGCTTTTTTTAATTTTCTCCCATGTTTGTAAAAGTGACTCCCTTATCAAATGTCTATGGAAATAGGAGTGGATCTTATTCTTTTTATCCCATAGAAAGGCATGCCACCCAATTTGGAGGTCATGACCTTCTATCGCCAAAATACTTTTATTTTTTAAATTTATCCACTTCTTAACCCATAGTAAAATTGCTGCTTGATAATATGTCTCCCATTTTGAGAGTCCAAGGCCGCCTCTGGTTCGACTATCTTGTAACATTTTTAATTTTCTTCGTGCTTTTTCCCCCATCCATATAAATTTCATTACCGTCCTATCTAATTCCTGAAAAAAATTCTTATCCAATTTTATACGTATTGTTTGAAAATAGTATAATAGTTTTGGTAGTATGTTTATTTTGCCACTCAACAGAATTAATCATACGCTTCATAGTGGCCCCCAATATGTCAGAATCAATAATACTGGGACTTGCTTGGTTAGACAAATCGGCCCCGACGATCAAATGGGAGGATGGATTCAGAAAAATCCTTTTTGGACTGGGCCCATTGCCCCCTCTTCTACCCACTAAAAAAGCCACCAGTCAGCTCAAACCCAGAGCCTGAACCAGCATCCATGGCATCCCACCTTCTCCCAGATAACCACCAGGTAGCCGACCAATACAAAGATTTGACTAAAGTATTCAGTGAAGAAGAGTGTAATGTTTTACCTCCCCATCAAGCCACTGATTGCGCCATAGAATTAGAGCCCAGGGCGAAATTACCAAAACCAAAGATGTATTCCATGACGCCTGCTGAAATGGCTGAATTAAGGAAATACATCAACAGCAATTTGGAACGAGGTTTTATTGAGCCTGCCAAATCAAGATTAGCTGCCCCCATGTTGTTCAAGGAGAAGAAAAATGGCAAATTGAGATTGTGTGTTGACTTTAGAAGCATGAACACAGTATGCGTCAAAAACATGTATCCTCTCCCTCTCATGAAGGACTTATTGAATCACCTGTCGAAGGGCAAAGTATTCACCAAGCTAGATCTCAGGGAAGCTTACTACCGTGTCCGCATCAAAGATGGAGATGAGTGGAAAACTGCTTTTAACTGCCCTCTGGGTAGCTTCCAATTCAAAGTCATGACTTTCAGACTTCAGGGGGCTCCTGCAGTGTTTATGCAGCTCATCAATGAGGTGCAACACCCGCACCTTTACTGGGGGGTCCTCATGTACCTGATGATATTCTTATCTTCAGCAAAACCATGGAAGAACATGTTTAATTGGTCCGACAAATTCTAGAAAAACTTCTAGCCGCCAAATTATATGTGAAACTCTCAAAATGCGAATTCCACAAAGAGTCGCTAGACTACCTAGGCTACCGAATATCCAACCTGGGGATTGAAATGGACCTGGAAAGGTGAAAGCAGTGCTGGACTGGCAACCCCCCAGAACCCGAAAACAACTTCAAAGTTTCTTGGGGTTTGCCAACTTCTATAGACAATTCATTCCATCCTTTGCTGAAGTTGCCCTCCCGTTGACAGAGCTATTAAACACGGGCCCGTCATCCACCAAACCAAAGCCTAGTCAACCCCTGGCTTCGACTATGGACTGTCAGAAAGCTTTCGAGACATTAAAACGCCTCTTTGCAATGGAGCCCATCCTCAAGCACCCAGACGTGACCAAGCCTTTTATTGTCCAAACAGATGCAAGTGATGTAGCGGTTTCAACCGTTTTGCTGCAAAAAGACTCTCAAGACTGACTGATGCCTTGCTCTTGTTTCCAAAAAACTGACAGACGCAGAGCAAAGGTGGGCGTTTGGGAGAAAGAAGCATTCGCCGTACAATGGGCTTTATTGACTTGGAGGCATTTTCTAGAAGGGGCGCCAGAGGCCTTTGAGGTATGGACTGATCATAAGAACCTCGAACTCTAAAGACCCCTAGGAGATTATCACCCAAACAAGTCCGCTGGGCCCAATATTTCAAGCGATTCAATTTCAACATTAAATATATCCCCGGAGGGAAAACGTACTGGCGGATGCTCTGTCCAGAAAACCTCAGTTTGACAGCCACCAAGAGGAAATAGTACAAGCCTTAATGTCAGATGCTCAATTGGCCGGCCAGGTAACCACTCGAACCCAAGCTAACTGCAACCCCAAACTCCTGGAAGATAAGCTGGCTGCGGAATTGAAAACGGCCCTATTGACCGACCCTTGGTTCCTGGACCATCAAACTGAGGTGACAATAAATGATGGACTAGCTTGGAAAGGGACTAAGCTTTATGTACCCACAACCCTAAACTAACCCTGGAACTAAAGCGTAGCCACGACTCCCGGCTGGGAGGCCACTTTGGATTCCTAAAAACCCTACATTTACTAAGAAGACAGTTCTGATGGCCAAAAATGAAACCTGATGTCGAGGACTGTGTAAAAAGTTGTTCAATTTGTACCACGATGAAACACAGAACTGGAAAGCCCCTGGCCTCCTGCAACAAGTTGCTGAACCAACCCAACCTTGGGAAGAAATTGCAATGGACTTTATTGTTGAATTACCTAAGAGTAAAGGGAATACGGTCATTTGGACTATAATTGACTTACTCTCTAAACAGGCCCATTTTATAGTCTGCAAAGGGCTTCCATCTGCGAAAAAACTTGCAAAGCTGTTCGTGAAACATATCTATAGACTACATGGTGTACCTCACAGAGTAATATCAGACAGCGGGGTACAATTTACTGCAAAATTTTGGATGGAATTTCTGAAATCCATTGGCTCCTCTCAAGGGTTATCCTCAGCTTTCCATCCTACTTGTAACAGGGCAGCGGAGAGGGCTAACATCATGATTGAACAATACATTAGATGCTATGTAAATTATCAACAAGAAAATTGGGCTTATTACCTTTTGCAGAGGTTGCTTACAATAATGCAGTACATAGCAGCACGGGATTGACTCCATTCCAAATCAACACTGGAATGGATTTTGTCCCAATGCCAGAGTTACCTAGACAACCTCCCTCATCCATGTCCCTGACAGAATGGATGAACTCATTAAAGAAAGGGTGGGAAGATACAAAAAAAGCTTTGAACAAAGCTGCAAAAATTTATAAAAAAACAAGCAGATAAACACAGATCCCTTCAACCGCCTTTTAAAGTAGAGGACAAAATATATTTGTCAACCAAGTATCTTAGGTTGGAACTGCCCAGTAAGAAGCTGGGTCCAAAATTTTGGGGTCCATTCCCAATTTCAAAGATAATCAATTCGGTCACTGTCCAATTACGTCTTCCTCGACTACTGGGGAAAATTCATCCAGTGTTCCATTGTAGTTTACTAAAACCAGCTACTACATTGATAAGACCACTACCACTCGCTCCCCCAAAACCATTGACGGTACATGGGGAAACACATTATGAGATTCAAAAAATTCTTGATTCTAGATTACACCATGGCCGATTGCAATATTTAGTCTTATGGAAAGGATACCCCCTCAGATGCTAGTTGGGTAAAGAGTTGGAATGTTCATGCTGATCAATTGGTTAACCAATTCCATGAGGATTTTCCCCACAAACCGAAGGGTCCTCGTGGTGGGGGGAGAAGGGGTTAAGGACGATGTATTAACCCCTATATGTGTGTTTTTTCTTTTCTTTTAGGAGGAGTTTTCAAGGGGGGACGCCTGTCAGCTTTGAAATTCAGCTGCCACATTTTTTTAGAGTTAGAGGAGTTGAAAAGTTCAAGGTTATTCTCTGTGTTATATTAAGAATTTCCAGTTGCAGTTAATTGGTTCTTGTGATTTATGAAGTACAAAAGTGGGAGGAGAGAAGGTGGGTTCTGTGTAACGCGCCAAAAAAACTTTCACTTGGGAAATTGCTTTTGACATGCCAGATCTGCTCCTAATAAATCAATTGGAGAGATAACATCTTGGAGTGATTGATATCATGGATACTTTCTAGATGCTTGACACAGGGTTTATTCCATCCTCCCTGTATAGTTGTCCGAAATATTTTTGTACTATTTTCTTTTTCTGAGTCATTCAATATTTTAATTTTCCATCATCATCCTCCAATTCTTTCTTTTTCTAATCTTAATTTATGGGCTAACCACCTCCCTGGTTTATTTGCATATTCGAAAAAAATCTGTTTTGTCCTTTTCACCTCTTTGACTCGCTCTTCCTGATTTATAATGTTCAATTTATGCCTAGTAAGAATTATCTCTCTCCTCATTTTTTCATCTTGTGGTTTTTTTTGGTAATCTACTTTCTAGGTCTTTAATCTCCTCCTGTAATTTATTCTGATTTTGTCATCTTTCCTTATTCCTTTTCGCTGTATATGCTATTACCAGCTCCCTCAAGACTGCCTTTGCTGTATCCCATATATTCTGTAATGATGTTTGCTCCACTGTATTTTCCTTTTAAAAAAGTTCCATTTCTTTCTTAATTTTCTCTACAAAATCTTTCTCCTTTAAGATTTGGGGATTAAGTATCCACCTTCTACTCTTCCTTTTCCTTCCTTTCCAAATTATTTTTAAGGGGTTATGATCAGCCCATACATTTGTCATAATCTCTACCATATTTAGAGGACCTCCAGAGAGGAATCAGCCGGGGTTTCGTGGAGCCCCGCTATCCCTTGGCTGTCTTGCTATGACACCAACCAGATTTTGAAAAAATACAAGTAACGATACTTGATTTCAGACTTCCATTCTTCCAGAGTGGGTAAAATGAGGATCCAAATTGTTGGGGGAAAGATTCTAACTCTATAAACTGCTTAGAGAGGACTGTAAAGTACTGTAAAGTGATATGTAAGACTAAGTGCTATTGCTATTCCTCCCTAATGAATTCTGGTTTTAGGATTTTTGTTTACTTGCTGTAGTAGAAAAACAAATCAAAGTCTTCCTTCCCAGAGCAGAAAGAGAATTTTTCACATCACAGAAATCACACATTCATTTCAGCATAACTATAAGCATAAGAAACTTTTAGTTTTGTTATTCTCAAGATATAATTTTAATGGTACTTACCAGCATCTGCTCAAAGAGAACCAGCACATCTTCATCAGAGATATCCTGCAACGTCTGACCTGACCCTGAAATATCTGAGCATGAAGTAGATGAATTCCTATATGTTGTATTGGGTTTTTCTTTCTCCTTCTTTATCCTCATACTGGTGAATCTCTCAAGCTGATTAATAAAATATTAAAATTAACATTAGTGTGCTTTTTCTATTCTTCTTTTCCATTCAATTTTAAATTGTGCTACTTTCTTAACTATAATATATGAGTATTTTGGCAATGTATTAGAAAAATAAAAATCAATGTTCTTTTAAATCTCTTCATACAATTCTGCTAATTACAGAACTGTGCAAAGCTTCTAGTGGGGCTTTCACTGAAGTTTCAACTGAATCATTCCATTAAAAGATTACAGATCACAACAGAGATTCACTTTGAAGTATTGAATCAAATGTCTGCAAAATGCTTTACAAAACTGATCGCTTTTCCGCTGCTGTATATAAAACCTTCATCCACATACAGTGTTGCAGATGCAATTCCAAGCACAGAGGTCAGTGAGAAGATTAAATGCAGAATGGTTAATGAGTTATCTGTCACTGAAATAATGCCCAATTAAGGAGCTGTTATTTTATTAAACTGACTCTTTTGAGTTGTCAATGCTTAATAGTAGTTTGAACTGTATTTACTTTCTCACCTTTCATATATTTGATGTGGCCATTTAAGCCTAACTACCTGCCCTTTGTGACAATGTTACAATTCTATATGGGGTCAAGATGGAAGATTGATTCAAGGAAACTCAATATACACACTTGGGTCAAACTCTGTTAGGGCAGATTTAAACTTTTTGACAATGATTGAACAAGTGCCTAACATAGGGACTATCGCAAACATTCATTTCAAAGAATAAATGTATGGTTAAAATACTGTTTTTTACATTATTCTTTTGCTAAAATCAGTAGCTATAACAGATTTAAAACAAAACATTGTAAGTGTTTCTAGGATTGGAGATGGCAAAACTATAAATGCCACTTTTTAGTGTATCTCACTGTTCCAGCTTACTCCTATTGCTTCTCTGAATAATATAGTATATTTTCACAAGCCATTATACTTAGACAATTCTGATTCTGCTAACCCCTTTCCAGTTTGAGAATTTGCTTGCCAACTAGCTATGCCATGCTTCTTTGTATCCCAGAACCTCCCCTCGCTCAAAAAAACATCCAGACACAACAAACATACAGTACTCTATAGGGGTAAATCAATTAAAATTCTTCAGTTTTATACCAAGCCTGGCACCTCAGAAAAATGGGTGGAAATGAAATGCTTAACTTTTGAATAATATTTGAAATGTTTTCTTTTAAAATAGGATAGGACAGTGTCTGCAGTATTCATTGTGTCACTCAACCAGCTAAAAGAAGTCTCTCTCAATTTCTATATTAAAGAGGCATGTAACATTATCCAAACCAAAGTATTCTGTCATTTTATAACCATCAGATTTCCCTCTCATCTAGATTAAATTTCTGTTTACTGATGAACAATCCATTACCACCACCTTTGGGGTACAAAGATTTATTCAGAATTCCTGTTTTTTCACTAGAGGCATATTTAAGTACTAACAATACTCCAAATTAAGTATCAAGATAATGCATGCATTTTAAAGGTGAGAGAAAACAATGGGAACCATTGTGGTTGCCTATCATTCCAATGCCTATTATGTACAGGAATAGTTCAGAGAATCAGATTTTTATAAAGGAGATATAATATTTTCCAGGCCCATTCTAAAAAAATAACCAAGGAAGCTCTCTTTTCAATCTGTTGGTGCAGAGTATAGTTTTATCCATTGAATACACTGGAAGCCAGAGTCAAAGTGACTCAGCTTCCACAAAAGACACCATTAAATTGGCTACTTCTGCAGTCTTGCTTCTGCGGTCCTGTGGATGTTCTGGTGGCAATGAGTTTCTCCCCCACAGGGAGGCAGGACCTATTAGATTGCTCCATCCCCGTCGACTAATGGACCCAGATGGGTTCCAGAAGGAGCTGGAGGTTATAACTGCAGATCTACTGTGCAGTCCAGCCGAGCTCTTAGTCAGTTTGGAATAGGAAGGTGACCGAGGCTCTGGATAGGATTGCACCCTTGCGACCTCTCCTCACTCATAGACATCTCTGTGCCCTGTGGTATACAGAGGAACTGAGAGGGATGAAATGCATGAAATGTCTAGAGCGCTGCTGGAGGAAGACAGGAGATGAACTCGATTGAACACGTGTAAGAGCTGCTACTAAGGCCTACCTCGTGGCGATTCATGTGGTGAAGTGTAAATACTTCTTCAAACTAATTACGTCTGCAGATAATTGCCCAGCAGCCCTCTTTAAGGTGAGCAGTCTCTTCCTGGAGGAGGAGGACATTGAGGTCCACCTGAAGGGGCACACTGAGGAATTTGCGGATTTTCTGGAAACAAAATCGCTCGACTTCGTTCCCAGTTAGATGCCAGCGTGGTTGCTGCTCTGGTGGAAGCTCCTGAGGCAGGTTCCTGCCCTCTTATCTGGGAACAGTTTGACCCTGCTGCTCCTGAGGAAGTGGACAGGATCCTAGGGAGTATATGCACAAGCACCTGTGTTTTAGACTCATGTCCCTCCTGGCTTGTGAAAGCTTCCCAGGAGGTGACTAGGGTGGATTCTGGCAGTGATAAATGCTTCCCTACAGGAGGGGATGGTGCCCCAGCACTTCTTAAGAAGCCATCGCTGGACTCCACCTGGTTGGATAATTTCCGACCTGTCTCCAATGTTCCCTTTTTGGGGAAGGTTGTTGAAAAGGTTGAAAACAGCAGCTCCAGTGGCTCCTGGATGAAACAGATTATCTCGACCCCTACCAGTCAGGAATCAGGCCTGGATTTGGGACACAAACGGCATTGGTTGCACTTTTGGATGATCTCTGGCAGGAGTGGGATGGGGGTAGTGCATCCATTCTTGCTCTACTTGACCTCTCAGCACCTTTCAATATCATTGACCATGGGATTCTCCTGGGGCAGTTTTGGGGGATGGGAATAGGAAGCCTTGTGCTGTCCTGGTTTACTTCCTTCCTCTGCAGCTGCTCTCAGTCAGTGTTGATAGGAGGGGAGAGATCCAGCCCTCGCCTACTGCTTTACAGGATTCCACAGGGCTTGGTACTCTCTCCGCTCCTGTTCAACATTTATATGAAGCCGCTGGGTGAGATCACCCATCACCATGGACTGAGGTATCACCAATATGCTGATGAAACTCAGCTGTATGTCTCAGCCCGTGATGAGTTAAGTATTGCTGTGTCCTCCCTCTTGCAGTGCCTGGAGGCTGTTAGAGGCTGGATGGGGAGCAACAGGTTGGAACTAAACCCTTGCAAGATTGAGTGGCTCTGGGTTTGGGATTAGTTGGCTCAGGTAGAATTACCACCTTTGGTCGTGGATGGGGTGGTACTACCCCAAACAGACCTTGTGCATAATCTAGGGGTTTTCGAAGAGCAGGTGGCGGTCGTGGCCAGGAGAACCTTTGTGCAACTGCGGGTTGTGTACCAGTTACGCTCTTTCCTTGACCAATGGTCCCTACTCAAAGTCATTCATGCCCTAGTCACTTCCCGTCTTGATTATTGCAACATGCTCTACATGGGGCTGCCCCTTGAAGGACATCCGGAAGCTCTAGTTGGTGCAAAATGCAGCGGCCCACATGGTTTTGTGCAGACCCTGGTGTGCATGTTTCACCTCTCCAGCGGGAGCTGCATTGGTTGCCGATTTGCTTCGGGTGCAATTCAAGGTGCTGGTTGTCACCTTTAAAGCCCTTCATGGCTTGGGACCAGTTTATCTGAGGGAACGTTTCTTGCCGATCACATCTACCCAACCCATTAGAGGGGGAAGGCAGGGAATGCTGCGGGTCCCATCCCTGAGGGAGATACACCTGGTGGGACCCAGAAGAAGGGCCTTCTCCATGGTGGCATCCCTCCCTCTGGAACATCATTCCCCCAGAGATAAGAATGGCCCACTCTCCAATACTCTTCTGAAAGGCACTGAAGACCTGATTCTGCCAGCAAACCTGGGGAACGCAGAGCGGGATGGAGCCTATCAAATGGCTCGTGTGATCTGATGTCGTTGGGGCGGGGGTGGGTGGGGTTGGGGGTGATTTATTTATTTTTCCAGATTTTGTTGTATTGTACTTTATTAATTTATTTGATTCTTTTTATTGTTTTTTATTTTAAAAGTGGTTTTACATTCTGTAAGCCACCTCAAGTCGCCATGGGCGAATAGGTAGCAATATAAATTCAATAATAATAATAATAATAATAATAATAATAATAATAATAATAATAATAATAATAATAATAATA